GTATCCCCTCACTCAAATGTTGATCTTCACAGTTGGTTAGTTATGCAATTAACTGTATAATATACTGCAGCAAACGCAAATTGTATCCATCTAGTGTGTTGCATGGTCGGATATCGGGGGTGAGGTGGGGGTTGGGGCTTTGCGGACACTGACTCGTTCGGCGTCGGCGTCTTTAACTGGCCTCTTAAGCAGGTGCGGCTACCGGCATGCGCTTGTGTGTGGTGTGGAATTCGGTCAATGGTCTGCAGATCACCGAGCGTGAAACAACTCTCTCTTTCGTTCGGACTTTAGTTTGGGGGCTGTGGCGTTTTAAACCGCACCAACACCAAACAACCAAAACCCTTACGTGTAACAAGCCATGGACCGTTGCCGGCAGCAACTGCCCTCCTGGTAAGAATTTATCGGAGTAACAGGTAAGAGTGAGATTTAATTATGACGAGATTTAGATTTACGCCCCAGATCAATTGGTATGTTTTTCCTGGAACTATCATTGCCTATCTACACGCGAATATGCACGATATATCCGGAAAAGGTCACAATTATTAAGGGCACATTAGTGGTGGTAAACCTTGGTCAGACATTTTTAGGGCAAACGACATTCGTGCAAGTGCTTGTTTAGTTAACCAATGGTTTCCCGCCAAAAGAGCTCTATAAGCGCAGTAGCATTGTCGTAATTTAATAGAGTGAAACAGATGCGTACGCCTGGTGGTCTCGTGAGCGTTCATAAATGAATTTCAATAACTCCCGACCTAAACATGCAAGACAACGAACTCGTAAATCAATCATAAGGGGGGTAACTCTGAGCAAACCGGTTGCGCGTTCGAGACTGTGGTAGGACGCCACTTGGGTCTGGTTATGACTGGCTGACGACGGTTCATAAGCAAGCAATGTCTAGTCCTGCCCCCTCCGTCCTTGTGGCAACACTATCTGCCTACACTACCAGCTGCTACGGTTTTCAGTGCCTCTGTTGAGACCGTAGACAGAGCGGGACAGATGAGTTCTGTTAGTGGTCGGGTGAGCGTTTATCAATGAAAATCAGTTCAATCAATTCACTTGCTTGAATAGCATGTACATGGACAGGTTTTAAATCAATAAATAGAGACCAGTAACTGCGGGCGGAAACAGCTGTGTAATAAATTCAAATATAGGAACTATATTTGCCAGTCATAATTTCTTTTTCTGACACAAGCATAAGCAGGGAAGTACAAACGAGCTTACTCTTCTAAGATTGAACAATTTTTTTCTATCCATTTTAGATGGTGCGATTGATTTTATTTGCCTTCCAAGGCAAGACTCACTTGTTCCCCTTTCCAAAGAATGCACATTTGCAAGCTGGGGTGCACCTCCGCGTCTATCCACTCTGTCATACACAAATTCGCAGGTACTCATGGAAGGCAGACTGAGCCTTGAAACGCAAGATTTCTGCGATTCGGAAGCAAATGAGCCTCAGTCTGAAGGACAAGCCTGTTTCGGAACAGGCGCTTTTGTACGTGTTTTTCTTTTGGTCACAACAACGCAATTTATATTATTCAACGGTTGTTTTTGTCTCGACCATTTGAGCCAAAGTGGTGTCGTTTAAACAATCATAAATGCCTCCTTTAAATATTGTGCTTTTAAAATAGTTAAAAGAACGCTCCAGATTTTCAAAGTAACTTACAATTTATGTTCTTTGCTTATGCTAGGGAATCCAAACTAGAGTCGGCTGTAGAAAGCTAGTAGTGACACGCGTTTGCAATACCAGTGCATTAAGGTGATATGACTCAGGGCTTTTACTGACTATTTATGACGTACGTATGCATGTTGAAAAACTGGGTGGCTAGTGATGGCTACATGCGAACAAACTTGGTCGACTGTACATAGGAAATGAGAAACGTAGGCTTAAGTGTCATTCATACTTCGTTATAATATCCTACGTACTTGGATTGCCTGATTTTAAAACGATTTCAATCCTTTAGAATCCTTGTTGGGGTGACAATGGCGCCGGCGTCAACTGCGTTAATGCCCAAGGACAATGGATACTCTATGGAATAATAAACAGTGGAAGTTTCCTTTGCACAGGCCAGAATGCCACGAGCACAAAGATACTGCCTCATCTTGACTGGATCAAGAAATCCATTGAGACCAAGGAATTTGCCTGAGAAGGAGGGTTTTTAATTTTGCGAATTTGTGAGGCGCGAGATACCTCCAAAATTACTGTTTTTTCGAATCAACTAAACTTTGATACCTTTGTTTTGTAAATTCGTGTTAAATAAACTCTTATAAACTCTGTTGGTTATTTGTTTGTGAATTCATGTTTCACTCCAGGAAAATCAGATAAATGCACAGCATGTGTCGCAAATCAAACACTAATTGAAATATGTATGGTTCAATTTTGCGCGAACTACATATCCAAGTATTATTTTCCAACTTTTATTTACTGTGCTTAATATTTATTGGTATAAAGTATGTTGCAATAACCACATCTTCCGTTTGCAGATATCCAAGTGATAGTTTACATTAAGATGAGGTATTTTGGTTTTGGTCGTTTTATAGTTATAATAATATGACGAACATAGCCATAATGCCCCAGCTGAATTAAGCAATCAATTGGGCTTCTCCAAATAGAGCATGTGCTTATTGAAACATAGGACACCACAGTAAATATTCAGCACAGTTTATGAAAGTCAGCAAACAGTAACTTGAAATATAGTTCCCTGCAAATAGGACAGTACATAACGTATTGCTGTCTGATTTGAAACACATGCAGTAAGTTTATTTCATTTTCTCGGATATTAACAAAATGAAATATTCCCATAAATATTTCCATCAATATTCACTTTTAACTTTGCGAATTATAAAATCGTAAGCTGACAGGGAATTAAAGGATCTGGGGGTGTGGTTATTAGCATATCTTATCCTTTAATGATGCATAGAAGCGTGCGATTTGACTGTTACTCAAGGAAGGGATAAGAAGCTTTAAAATATGTTTGTCCAAATACACAGGCCAGAAAATTAATGAGGAGGAAAGAAAATATATACGAAAAAAGTCAAAAAATTTGCCGGTGTCTCACCCTTTTTGTACTCCTTCTAAACAGAAACTGGGGATGCATAGCTTGAACTACGTGAACAAAGTGAACCATATAGTTATCGCATAATACACAAAGTTTTTTTATGTGTTGGACAGGCTGTTGCACTCATTGTTTGAATGGGATTCGGCAAACCATCACTCACGTCAACCAGGGTTCGCACAACTGTCATCCCTCGCGAGGATTTGGGCCTCGTCAAATAAAACTGTGGCCAGGTCTTGTCGAATTTGAAGGCCAGATAATAACTGTATAGTCCTCGCGATCACATCTGTTTCATGTCAATTACTTTTTGCGAATCAAATTTCGCCTGTATTGGAAACGAGCAAAAGCTGTATGTGGCAGGGGCCAATGAGACTATTCTGCAGGTGATTACGCAGGATTCTTTACTCATGTGGATAGTCGGTAGATCGATTAAGTGAGCTGTCATCAGTGGCCCAGACTCCAATATCTATTGTGAGTGTTGAGCATTGCATAGATTGTTTTTCAATGCCACGCCGCGTATGTAGTGTTAGGTGCAGCACTGCTTTACAGTTCATAAGAAGAAGTGATCACAGGAACAAGAGGTTTATTGTCCTGACGTTTTGGATTACCTTGGGATTCTTTAATCATAGGTAATATATGAACAGTCTGAGACACGCGCAGATAAAGGTGATGCATACACAGTTTTCAAGGTATTCATAGTTCGTAGGGTTACCCACATGCGTACCGTAATTGACATTTCCTTTAGCCACAGCTTGTCCAAGTCGGCTGCGGGTTTGATAACTGTGTGAAAATTACGCCCGTTGCGTCAGCGTTGTTGCTGCTCCCCATCCATTCCACGTGACTGATTCCCTTGCTCATGAAATGTCTCACTACGCCGTATGGGAATGCCAAATCATTGCGCTTGTTTATGTACTGGGGCCTGAGAACCATGACTTCAGCAGCTCGCGGCTCACGTGGTTGTCTCGTAAAACTTAAAAATATGGCCGGTGTTATAGCCCACTTTTTTGAACCCGACTAGAAGGCAGAAGAAGCCGAGAGAACGATTGAGGACAATGCAGGGACAAGGGAATCCTTAGCTCCTCCAATACAGCCTATTGATAAAAATAAGGCCTTCTAGAATACTCCTGGTCCAATAGCATGTGACCATTGTTCTGGCATGCCACTGATCGATAGTTTGCCACGCTGTGTGAATGATCGGTGCGTATATTCTCTAATCGATAGCTCCCCACGCTGCGTGAACCGTCGTCGCACGTGGACGCTTATCGATAATTCCTCACGCTGTGTGAGTGGTCGCGGGCGTTCGCTGTTTGTTTGTGCACATGACTCCAGGCCGTCGACTCTGAATGCATGGCCGCTCGCTTCCCTTTAACAGCCGGGTCCCGTCGAGTGAACTGAAGCCTGGGAGTTGGTGTCTTTCTTCCTCACCGCCGCTGCATGCTCAGTCATTTGCATCCGCAGAAATCTATTTGGTTTCTCCGACGTGGGTGCTTTGTCCTCAACTGCACCAGATCCGGTTAACCACTGCAGCCGTTTCCTGCCGTGACAGTGGGTCTTTCGGTTTCATTGTCTAATGCTTTATGGTTGCATCCGGCCTGTTTGCGACTCCAACTCCAAGTGGGCTGACCACTTCCAAAACATTTTTCCCCTACGGAAGGGCTTGCAAAACTTTTGGACCAGTAAGACGTGGCTTTTTCTCTCGTTTGTGTATGCATTGATTGACAAAATTGCGTGGGTAACTGTTTGCTCGCAGTTGCAAGACGGCGTGTGCTTTGAATCAGTAAGTGGGCAAACCCATTGGCGTGCCCTTCGCCAGCTCGTAGTTCGTTCCGTTGAAGTTAAAGTACGTCTTGAGGTAGAACTTAAGGAGCTGACGCATTTTGGCGAACCCGAGGTGATTTTCCGTTTCATCGTTTTTCTCTCGTAGGATTAGTTGAATAGCCTAGACTGTCAGGTCCTGTGATATAGAAATAAAAATGTACGTGACATCAAAGTAAACCATGATTTCGTTTGTCAGGAGTTTAACCACTTTAAGTTTCTCCAGGAATTGTGTTGAAGACCTGACTGTTGTGCCTGCATCAGCGGTCAAGATTCCCGATGAAATCCGGAACGTCTGGACAAGAACCTTCCTGTTCCAGTGATCGCTTCTTTTTCTTCTGAATTGCTTCCTGGAACTCGCATGTTTAATTATATTGCTTCACAGTTCCAAGTTAAAAAACGATCAGCACCAATATCAGGCGTAAAGACCAGGAATGTAGCTCACTTTCGGCAAGTGGTACGCTTGTTTCCGGAAGTTCGAGAACCAATGTGTCGGCACGTGCGACGACTATAAACGTAAGGACAGTTATCGAATGGAATACGGGGCAGGAAGTTAATCTGGCGTGTCTTGTGGTGTGACGGGCTTAGTCGGTGAGAGGACGTGGACCTGTGAGAGAGGCAGATGCCAGAGCGATTGCTTTAGAAAGCTCCGATTTGTATGGCAAATCATGCCGTTTTCGGTCCAACTTTTCTCCATGATAAGTCAGACTCCATCTTCCGCGACCAAATTTCACGAAATTAGTTCAATATCCGTTAGATACAACAACATATTACGTAAATAGCCTAACACTTGAAATGTGAAGATGAAAAACTTGGGGAGGGTGGTTTAACACATGTTTCAGGACGTTTGTTCTTTCATTAAATTCAGTTGAGTTGAGGCGGAAAAACACTTTGCTCAAGAAGATTTCAGTTCAGAAAAACAAAAGTGGAGGAAAAATCGGGTAAACACTGACTAAAACCCAGGGTTCTTGATATGCACAAACACTCCTACGCTGTGGACCAGAATATCGTGTTGCGCGTTTACTGTAGAAAAGCATACATATAAGCTGGAAGTGTGTTAACTAAATTTATTCAGACAACGGAAAATGTTGTTCTTCCTTCTTGAAAATTATGCAGATGAAAGTATGTGAATTTACATTGTTATCGGGAATCGAAGAGCGGTTTCAGTTTAAAAACAGTTCCTTTTGTAAGATGTGCGTCGACTTGTATCATAAAATTTAAGTTTCTTTCCTTGGTGAACATTTGAAGATTGCGTAAACAGCAACATTTAATGGATCAATCTATTTCGAGAGTGCTTTTCAGTTGTAACCTCTCATTGCATAACGTGAATGAACGTCAGAGAATTAACACAATTGCGTTCTTACAGAAAACATCGATACAAAACGGCAAGGTCACTGTTAATGGCCAACAGGCAATCTATAAAGTAAGAAATTTAAACGTCGTAGGCAGCAAAAATGGTGAAAAAACGTCCAAGGCAAAAAAGATTGGAGGGGAATGTGTAAACAGGGAGCCATTTTTTATCAAGGTAAAGTTAGATTCACTAAATGCTCCAATTGTTAACATGGGTCGGGTTTTAACCGCCGTGTGTAGACTGCCTCCAGGTAGCGTACGGTGCGTGTCATTCGTGCCTGAACAAGTATTCGGAACGGGGTTTAGGGTCCACGGAATGGCCGTATCTCGCAGGTGTTCAGTAATTGATGGGCGGCGAGTTCGTGTTTCTTGCTTAAACAACCAGCTGGGTAACTGCTCCTCTGCTCTGGTAGCCAATTGCCTTTGCGTTCGCGTTAAGACGTTCCTTGAATGTCAGCACATGATCCCGTTCAATAAAGACGAAGGTGTCGTTCACATACTGACCCCAGAATTTTGTTCTGTGGTGTCTGAAAACCGGAGAGTCCAACCGTTGCAGGACCGCCGCTGCTATGAGTCCGGAAATAGGCGAACCTTTTATTGTGCCGTATAGCTGCTCGTAAATAGTTCCGTTGAAGGTAAAATACGCCTTGATGCAAAACTTTAGGAGCTGGGGGACTGGGCGTGCCCGAAGCTATTCTCCGTTTCATTATATTTCTCTCGTAGGAGTAAATGGATAATCTCGATGACCATGACCTGTGAAATCGAAGTAAAATGGGACGTGAAATCAAAGAAAACCATAATATTGGTTGGCTGGAGGCTTTCCCCTTTGAGTTTCTCCAAAAATTATGTTGACGATCTGTTGGTTGGGTCTGAAACAGCGGTCAATAATTTGAGCCGGCGGAACAGCCGCTTTGCCAGTCGCTAGG